TCCAGAACGCACGAACCGATTTCCACGGTTTTGCATTCGTTGGAAAGGTCTCGGGCTCCGTGAGGTTTATAGCAAAGAAAATTCGGGAAAAAGGGGTAAAACGGGATCCACGCGTACGAAGTCGCGGGCGGCCGCTAGTCTTTAAAAAAAATGAGCAGGTGGTCATCTCACGCGCATCAATTACGCCTCAATTGTTGAAAAGTGAATTAATAACTCAGAATACAGGCCTTAATCGACTTATCGAACATTATAAAACAACAACAACAATTCAGTGAGCACAGTCAGTTGTCGACAACAACAAATCGATGGTCTAAACCCGTCGTTGTAATGAGTGTTATAATCACAGATGTTATCCAGACTTTTGCATGTCAAACATCACCTGCTAGCTATTGTTTTGGTCCACAGCTAGAGGCAGAACAGACAGCTCAATGAGGGCTATCGTTTTAGCGCTCACCAGTTAGCGCTACTGTAGAGTAAGGTCCTGTCACTTGCTAGTAGCGAAGACAGTGGCACTAACTGGTGAGAGCTAAAGTGGTAGGAGGACTATTGCAATTGCACTCATCAAGATGGCGCCACTGTAGAGTAAGGTCCTGTCAATCGCCAGGGGTGCCAACTGTTAAGTATCAAAACGATAGCCCGCATTGTATTGAGTTCATTTTTGTTTTGATTGATTAGCAGTGTCTTTTATCATGCCTGATAGAAATAAATTACCATAGAAATTGAACATTTGACGCTTAACATAATTTTTAATTGTCTATGTCTCGTGAGCTTTGTATCAACCTTGATGGGTGCGCTTTAAGGCACAAAAAATTTTGCTTCTGAGTTCAAAGTGAGTCTTTAATCTTATTATTATGAGATTGAGGTAAACGCAGACTCAATACAAAAATAAAACCAGTAAGAGTCTAGCCAAATGCATGGAGATCCCTTAAGAATATTACTTTTGTCTAACGGAAATTTTTGTGTTTGAAAAGGCAGGCAGGTATTTGAAAAAAAAGAACATGTAAGATTGCAGTCTAGGGTGTACCCTGGACCACTTTAGCTGCCCATTAAGTGCCTGTTGTTCACTCTTTTACGAGTATTAAAGCTCAAAAACACAATATAATTACTTCATTCAGAATACGCGCTGTTAAGAACCTCTTAAAAAGCTTTTAACTATGTTCTCACAAACTTTTATAGCTTGACAGAGCATCAAAGGACTGGCGTATCTCAATTTACTTTGCTATTGTCTCACCCAGTCCCATGCGCCGATTACAATACAATACTCTTGTGAAATATGCGAAGAAATGTAGGACTGTGTTTATGCGGGGCCGGTCTTCATTAGACTTGCTATTTAGCCAATCAATCAAGATAAAACCATTAATTAAATGTTAGGAGCTAGACCGTCCTATATGTATACCTTACATCTAAATGATTAAGCAAATTGCTGGTAAAAGTTAAGTAAAAATACCTGTATTTTGTCCCAAAAAGTAGTGTCAAGCCGAAGCTCAGAGGTAGAGCATCACTAGGGCTATCGATATCTCCCCTATGTATGTTCCGCGATTTTTGATAGTTTTGATTTTTTAGTTTTTTTATTACGATTGCCTCCCGTACCAGTGGTACTCGCAAGTTCCTCAGTTACTCCGTGACCATGGCGCTTGTAACAGTGCCGAAATATCGGAAACTCAAAATTAAGGTACATGGTAGTAATAATAATTAGGATTCATGAATAACAGAACTTAATGTTATTAAGATGTGTGTGATACCTACCTAGGGTCTAGCTAGTAACCAGTGAGTTGCAACCTCTAATTTGTTAGGCTTTTGTGTCATAAAATTATATTAATCCTTATGATTTAACTTGACCATGACTATAGCTAAACTAACCTAACAGTGCCGTAACTTCCATCAATCTATATCATCTCTGGAACCCTCATTATCTATTCACCTCTGGATAACGGATAGTGATGTGCAGTAAACGTCAAAGTGACGGACGGCACGCCAATCCGCCTATACGTCAGCTGATTGGTGTGTCAGAAGCCGGTAATTGAAACGTATTATTATATTGTCTTGTAATAATAATACTTCGATGGATAGTCTTCATTATAGCGCAGGCAAAATGTCATAATGGTACATACTCGTATGTTTTCACTGTACTTAGGTTTTGATTTTTCAACTGTCAGAAAGTAAGAAAAATACTAAGCCAGTTGGTCTAGTTTGCAGTGCCTCACTATTCTTGCCTTTCTTATTGGTTTATTTTCAAAAAAATACTAGAAAAAACTCTACATTGAAATCAAACTGCATACTCGTCGTTTGTTTTTGATTTAGGTTCTGCTACATACTTAATATGAATTAATTCACAAGATTACCACTATCTTAGTAGAATCAGAATAAATTCACTGCTTTCATTTACTTACTTAGATAAGTACTTTCACTTTTTATAACACAAAGTAGCATCGCACGCGGATAGCAAAAATGGAAACTAAAATGTAACGTTGTTCTACTAAATATTATTAAACTCAAAAAATGAACTCTCACAGACGGGAATTGATCCCACGATCTTTCTCCACCTTTGACAGCTCCAACTACTAACTACGCAGAAATTGATAAAATTGGATGTAAAAAGAAAATATTTCTTTTTGTATGTTTGTAACTCTCAAAAACTAATCGACCGATTTCAATAATTCTTTCTTCATTAAAATGCTTCATTGTCCCTGAGTAACAAGCTATATCAGACTTTAATCTTATTTATATTCACGAGGGTGAAGGCACGGGAAAAGCTATATTCGATAAATTTTCGACCAGCGATTGAAATTCTTGGCTTATAAAAGCTCCTTTACACTACCACTGCTTCGGGACAACAAATGGGCCAGTGCTGAGAAGAAGCAGCGCAAGAAACTCACTATTGTCGGCCTCTTTTTCAAGGGTTTACATTATAAATACATTCGGCAAGTGCCGAGATGTGTAATTAGTACCTAATTAGCTAGAATTTCAACCACCAAGCTGTGGTTTGGCCATGTCGACACCTGTATCTTGTGTGAAGATCGCTCAGTATCCACAGCATGTGAGAACTGTTTGTATGCAGAAATGGTACCTAATTCTATACTGGTGCATGATTTATGTTGTATGAATTTTCCGGTAGAATCGTGCTAACAACTGAATACATCTCGATTATATTGCAACTCTAAAATATTACAACGTTCAGAAGGTAGAGATCAATTTGAGCTTGGGATATTCAGCTTGATGTACAACATATAGATCGTTTCATCCACGAAGACGCGCCCCACCATTCTTCCGCTAATGTTTGAGTGTTATCGGTACACGCTAAATTATCCATGAGTGCACACGCACACTACAATAATGACGCTCGGATTGCTCGGATCAAACTCCCCGCACCCCGTGCTTTCCTCGTACAAAAATTGGTGTTGCGCGTCTTCGTGGATGAAACGATTTATATGTGATTAATTAATTTATTTATTATGTAAATAGAGAAGTCTTAAACTACTCACACCATTTATAACGTAACATTTATACGTGTAGAAACACTCAGAAGCCTAATCAAATCAAAATACGCATTGATGTGTTTGATGGTCATCAAATGATGATATTAGTGCATTATTTTGCAACTATACTATACATAATATGTGATGATTCTTAGTCAACACTCAACACATTACTATTAAATTAGCTCGTTAAAACATGGCCACCATGTTGTAATCATTTAATTGTCACACAAATATAGGGTGGAACCTGATTTAGTATCCAGTAATTAGATGCATAGATCTGAAGTCCTGGTTCAGTTTAAGTACCTACTCTAGACACCAAGCCCGCGGCTTGTTGTCGGCGGTTTTGCACGTATTTCAATAGAAATAAGACGACAACTTGTATTTTCTATGACTTTTGACAGGTCTAAAGTCGACAACTCATGTCGGCGGTCTTCGGGTTTGGTGTGAGATTACATTATTCCAACATTATTAATATTTTAGCTAACCCAACAAGCAAAACTGCAAGATTTATGGTGGATATGGTTTCGCAGGATTAAGCTTCTTTCTAAATAATAAATGTTAATGTAAGCATAGGTTAAGATTCGTTCGATGGGACTGACATGTTTTCGAATAAAAGTCCCTAAATAAAAACAGATAAAAAAATCCGACATCGTTTATCTACACTCTGTATGGTTGAATCTTTAATTTACACATTTAACAACAAATAAAACGGTTAGTTTTAAAATGTACTTGACTTACTTTAATATTACAGACCATGAGACCACCACCATGTATACTCTTGTAATGTGATATACTTGTAGTGCCTCTTAATGTGGCAGACCATTTACAAATGCGCCGTAAGGTCGCAGGTTCAAGCCCAGTGAATGGTAACTAACTATTCAGGGTACCTGACATTAGTAATGCATATATCTTGGGAAATATCTTCCAGGCTTGACATGTATTGATTTTAGCATGAAGGTGAATGTAAGATTTATTCGAATTGTTGGTATTACCGGCATCAGTACAATTTATGTAATAATACCACAGAATAACCTACTCTTTTCCTTGTTTGAATGTTTTAGAACTTGAGTGCGAAAACTCACTTCATTTCATTTGGTCTACTGCAAGAGAACGACCCTCTCAAATGGAGGACTTGGTCTATACTCGTATTTCCCTCGTTAGTGAGTCTTGTTGGGGTTGGTGAAGCCTGATGTTGCATATTTAATTTTGTCCCTTCGTCGTTTTTTAAGACATCCACGGGGTGGGAGTGAGTGATCCTACTCTGCTGGAAACACACGGCATACAAAAGCGAGAAAACTACAATTCCAGTTAATTTTAATTTTGAGTTTATTTATGCTAAAGAGTCCTATAGGAAACCACACACTATACAAATGATTTGATTGCAACTCTACCTGACTGATTATAAACTTAGAACAATTGCTATCGACTCTTTATCAAATCATATCGAAAATATTTATTCAATTCTTTTTGACCAGTATTTGGCACTTATGACGGGCGATTCTAACTTTTTTTTTTTCCCAGGTGGCGGCAGTCGCATCAATGGCCTGAAACGATGTTCAGAACGGCGTCAGTCGAGGGCTCGGGGCCGAGGACGCCGCCCGCCTACGCGCCTCACCCGCCCTACGTGCCCCCTCGCTTCTTCCCGCCCAGGATCCGAGCGCCGCCCCCACAATACTGCTTCGACGCAGCACGCTTCGCCTCCGACGCTTCTAAACCACGCTACCTCGATGTGGAGCGCGAAAGGCTGGTCACAAGATGGCTGGCCGAAGCGAACGAAGCACTCGTCAGGCGTGACAGGCCTCCGAGGTACAAGCCTCGGTCTAGCGAACGAAGACCAGACTTTCTAGATAGGAGACCCAGTGCGCCGGAATGGGCTGACAACTTTCTTCTAGGCAGAAGAAACGGGTCCGTAGAACCTGAGGATGAAACTAGTGAACCTATGACGTTAAAAGAGTTTGTGGACAAGTTTTCTCTTCCGAGAGTGGTGAAGTTTGAGGGGGAGGATAGGCCAGTGCTGTTGTATAGAGTGCTGGAAGCCCACAGGAGGGTGGAAGCGGTCCCTCTGTCGGGGAAGAAGGGGAAACTGGTGGGGAAGCCGCTGTACATCCCTGATAGTTATGATGGTAAGTCCTAGAATTATTTGTTATACTCTTTTATGTACCTACTTCAAGCTAAGTAAAACCATATAAGGGCATTTCTCTGTAAGCTCGTACAGGTCCCATACAAATGCTGTCCTGGCAATTATTTTTAACATTTTCCATAAAACCGTGATCCGTTTCAAAGAAAATTGACTATTATTTTAGTTAGATAAGGAGTCCCACTGAAATTATTAATATTTTCCGAGTTATTAGCGATTTTCCAAGAAATCATGACAGGGGACTGTTAATTGAGACAGAGGACTGTTATACTTTAAGAAAAAGTCATTTTAAATTGATCAATTATTTATTATTTTATAGCAAATCAATAGTAAACAAAATGTCTTTATAAAAAATTAACAGAAATAACAACTTTCCTTAATAAACATTCATATCAAAAATTAACCTTAACCTCTGAGGCACTGAATTCCGAGTACCACCCGTTCCTGCTATTTCATCATCAAATCTTTGAGGGGAATTTGTGGTCAATTCAGGTTCAGCAGATTAAAGATTTTCCGTTATAATGCTCACAAGAACCACTGTTGCAAAAGCAGCTGACACTTTTCATTGTTAGTCATCAACATCATTACAGCACTGGACGTCCACTGCTGAACATAGGCCTCCCGCCCTCCCCCAATGACTTCCACATCGCACAGTTGGTAGAGCGGCCTGCATCCAACGCCTTCCTGCTACCTTTATGAGGTCGTCGGTCCACCCACAAGGTGGCTCGGTGTCGCTTGTCTCTCGCTGCGTTTTTCGGTACATGGCCTCTACTCCAGAACCTTGCTGCCTCATTGTTAGTGTTTTATATTTATTTGGAAAGCCGAGAATGGACCAGGAATAAATACTTGCGACCTGATGCACATATTTGTGCAATTTCAGGCAGAGGACTGTTGCCAGGGGACTGTGTATTTCGGCTAGATTTCACAATATTTACGCAAATGATGTTAAATAGTGTTTTAAGAATCTACCGATCAATTGAGACATAAACATTATATCAATTTATACTTTATTTAGAGATTATTAAGTAATTAACATGCATATTATGACTTACCAGAGGACTGTGTGTGGTAGCGATTCAAGCGCGTGTTCACCTCACAAATGACTCTCTGACCTTAAAAAAATAGGCATCTCAACGCCGCATTCGGCAAGGTTGCCTATTTTATAGCAATTGCATTTCATTTCACTCAAAAAAAACATCATAGCTATTATAGTTTTTTTATATTATGTATTTAAATTTTTGGCAGGGGACTGTATTAAAATTCTGGGGACAAAGTTTACAGGAGTTTACTAAATAAATAAAATTGGTAATGAGAGCTTGTTTTACGAAAATAATATAATTTTATTATTATTCTTTATGCTATGAGCTGCCAGATGTATGTAGTTTCAATATCTTCTTCGTAAATCTCATTTCTAGGCGGAAATGCAGTGATGGGGACAGCCAGGGGACTGTATTTTTCGGGCTTCAATCGAGTCTAGAAAAAAACTAAAAATAGTTATGGTTTTTAAAACAAAGGGCCCGTAAAGTTTTGGGGTTAAAGTTTCATTACGAGTGTGTTTGTTTAAAATATTTTAATTGCTTTTTGAAAAAATCGGCCGGGACAGCCGATTACGAGCTTACAGAGAATCGCCCATAAATCTTTACAAAATAATACCTACTGTAATGAATAGGCTCAAAAACTGCTGGACCGTTTTTAATTTAAAAATTCTTTCACCATCCGAAAGCTACATTATCCACGAGTAACATAGGCTAAATTTTATTTCGGAAAAAATAGGGTTTCGTAAAATATGTACCTAGATAATGTAGTCCACGCGTGCGAAGCCGCGGACGGAAAGCTAGTGTTGGTATAAAAATCTATCATGTCTGTTGTCATTAGGAATTAGACCATTAATTTTCTCATATTTGCAATCACATCTATAAAACAATTAATGTGTAAATATGTGCTCGTAAATCTGATAGCGAAAGAAACAAGATTCTAGTTGTTTTCTTTCTGAAGCATGCCAAACATAGAGGAAATGATATTTTACATCAACAGTAATCTAGGCCAAGATGAAGGCCGGACTTCTGATGTTACACATCAAATTCAAACAATTTGACAAGCTAAAGCCGTTAGTAGAAAAATGCCCTAGGGCATTAACATACCTTGACATTGATTTGAGCAGATATGGGTCTCTGTACGACATACACCTGATGTTTAACATTATCTAACAACCCCTCTGTGTGTTTGATAGAGATATTTGATGTTTGTTTTAATTCCCAGATAAGATGAATAATTTAAAAAGATCAATAATGTTGTTATAGATGACCTACATTGAACTGTCTCACCAATCTCATTGACAGGGGGATGCCACCATCGTTCAACTATGTAGATCCGGTATTGACGGTGGCGCCTCGTTGTCAATGTCACAGATAGGACAGTTCAGTATTTTAGATCTATAGTTCCATTTGGTACGATCTAAAAGATTTGAAAAATCTAAAAAAGATCTAAAAGCCACGACCACGAAAAACTTCTCATTTCAAACAACTTTGTCTCTCCAGGATGTCTGGAATAAATCGCTATCGATAAGACCGCCTGAAATGTGCCAGTTCATATGTAAAAGTAGTTGAATTTTTAATCTTTACCAGTTTTTATCGCACCCTAGACAAAAACTAGAAAAATAAAGAATGAAAATTAGGTATCTATGTAGGTTTATATCTATTCTAAAGCTAATCAATTTCAAATTACTGTAACCTTCAATCCAGTGTGGCCACAATGTTTGTGTTTTGTGACGAGCATGTAAATGGCATTTCAAATTACTAAAAAAGGCGCGTAGGAAGATAATATACCAGTGGGTGCGTAATGTTGGTTTTTAGATAAATTGGGTACAATTACACGATAATGGCTCTATACAGCTTATACAGGGTAACCAAAAAATTTTTCGTTCAAAGCTAAAATTTAGATTCTATATAAGGCGTATCTAAATAACTAAGCAACGTAGAATATACTTGAGGGATACACCTTGATTTAAGGAGTCTAAATGTAAGCTTTGAACGTCAAACCCCTGGCCACCCTGTATACATAAAATTTGCTCTTATCGTATGACTCATCAAGCATTTATCAACACTGCTCTTCAGCCTTAACTCTTTGATTTTAAGACAGCTCTTCATCAGGTCAATGATGCCCGTTTTTACCATCAATCACTAATTTTTAAGTGACCCCTATTGTAACACATAACAGGCATTTTGTTTTTATAGGGGTCACTTAAAAATTAGGGATTGATGGTGAAAACGGGCGTTCGTCTCTTCTGCAGGAGCACGACCCTGTCTAATTTACCAGAGGCAAATGGAGGATATGGCCTATATTCCCTACACTGACCAGTCAGGTTGGGGAGGCCTGTCGTTTCAGCCAAATGACGTCCACTGCTGGACAAAGGCCTCCCCCAAGGTTTTCCACAATGAACGGTCCTGCGCTGCCCGCATCTAGGCTCTTCCCGCGAACTTTACCAGATCGTCGGTCCACCTAGTAGGAGGCCTACCCACGCTACGTCTTCCAGCCCGTGGTCGCCACTCGAGAACTATCGTGCCCCAACGGCCATCGTCTCTACGAGCTATGTGCCCCGCCCACTGCCACTTGATTTTAGCAATTCTGCGCGAGCTATGTCGGTTACTCCTGCAGATCTCTTCATTTCTGATTCGATCACGCAGGGAAACTCCGAGCATAGCCCGCTCCATCGCCCTTTGGGTGACCTTGAGCCTTCTTATGAGGCCTGTGGGATATGATGCTCAACCACAATAAGGAAGCTAGATGTTAGTGCTTCCTTCCGAGCGGGTGTTATGCTCGGGGACCAAGGTCCAATTTACATCATCTTGGTTTGCCTATATATACTTGGCAGGATATAAAACTCCGTCACCGCGATGCAGGTTTGTATGAGCGGCGGAGTGTGCCATAGTGAAGTAGTAACAGCGCCATCTGTTGGTCACTAGTTTGTAGTGGCGTCGCCACAAGGCCCATAGTAAGGGGAGGCCTGATGTTCGCATATTTGTCCCCTAGTCACCTTTTACGACATCCACGAGAAGAATAGGTGCCCAAAGGGCTTAGTGTGAGTTAATCAAACGTCGTCACAAGCGAGCGCGTTAAAAAATATATGAAGATTTTAGTTCCGCTAGGGGCGTTGTACAATCCTTCATACATTTAATGTCACTTTTTACGTAGTCGACATCGATTTGACGTAAACTCACACTACGCCCTCTGTGTGCTTACCATGAGTTTACGTTAGATGTGCTCGCTAGCGACTGCGTAAAAAAATGTCATTAATTGTATGACATATTGTGCAGCGCCCCTAGCGGCTACTTTCAAGAAACAAAATCTTTATAGAGATTTTTGACGTACTCGCTAGCGAGCATACCTAACGTAAACTCATGGTAGGTACACTGTTCTATCTGTCCAAAACAAACGGCAATGGTGATACAGCTGATTTTTGCATTTCAACGACGGTACTTTATTTATACATTCCTAAGTGCTATTATCTAATAGTTAACAATAGCTCTTAAATGGTCCAATGATTACTCAGCAGCTCTGTGACATAATCATCTATAATGACTTTTCTAATGGCCGTTCATATCTCGCTAAAAGCTTATTTTAAAAGGCAAGCCTTTTTTAAAAAAGAAAGTCATTTATTGCCAACTAAACCACCTTTATCAATAGTTTAACATTGTGTACACTAATATTGAGTACACACGGTGTCCTCCTTATGTTGCCTTACAAGTACTCGTAGGACATATAAATGTGTAATAATCCACAAAGCTATTTAAGTAGATTTTTTCGAATTAAATTTTGCAAATATGTTTGCACGAATACCTGAAAACTAGTTATGCATTTGATTATTCACTACGAAATATTTAATGATATTTTAATTTATATGAACAATTATTGACATTTCATTTAAGTAGCAATCAGTATAAAGGTCGTTGCACTAAAGCTGTGATTATATCTTTATAATACTTAATTCGATAATCATA